AATCTATATGAATTAATGAAAAAAGGCATTACAAGTTTGGCAATTTCTGTGTTTAATTCTGCAAGGATACCTCCTGTTGTTAAATGGAGTTCACCAAAGTTCAAAATGAAATTTCCCCAACCTGATTATTTGATTTAGGCAAAAGCTTTTTGGTCGTGACTTGTCCAAACTGAGTTGGTGACATCTATTGCTGTTACGCTAAGGATAAGCAATGTGCAGACTGCTAATTTATACATTTATTGTAATTAATAATGAAGCCAACACCTGATAATTAAATGTTAAAAATTCCAAAAACGAATTTTATTTTTATATAATAAATTTAATTATAATATAGACAATCTAAGTGAATCAAATGTTTAAATAATTTTGATAAATATATAAATCATCAAGTCAGAGAATGCGTATCTTTTCGATTAGCAATGTTTAGTTATATTAATTAAAAAATGTTATGGTTTATAGATTTTTATTGAGATTCTATTCTAACAATTATGTTTTTTTAATTTCTTAAAACTAATAAACTTAATTAAAATATAATACCTGTCCCATTAATTAAAGTCCATTATTATTATTGTAATTACCATATCCTAAAATTAATCCTCTATGAAATTGACCTTAGTAATAACTACCATCACTCCATGTAAATAGACCATCTCCTTCAAATTTATTATTTTAAAAGAATCCTTCATATCTAAAGATTTATGTAAGAATTATACTTGCATCCATCAGGAAATACTTATATGCCTCTCCCATGCTTCCTGCCATCCCAAAACTATCCATAATAAGTAGTCCCATCACTCCTTATCTCTTATCCTTCACCTTAAAGCTGATTGTTAATCCAGATTCCTAAAATAAATTACAAATATTTATACCTTTTACAACTTTTTTTTCCGATTTAAACATACCAAATCCAATCGTCCTACCTTATGAGAATTGAGCTTCAAAACTACTATTAAATTATTATATTTACATATCTCCATTAGAATAAAACATTGTACATACACCTTCCAGTAAATCATTTTACCAAGTCCTAAGAAAACTTAAATATTCATTTATACCCTTTTAATAAATTTCCAATTTTAGGCCATAGTTAAATACCTATTCCATGTTTTAAGCTATCTTCCATCACTCCAAAGTATATACTACCATCGTTTTGTTTAGAAAGTTAAGAGTTTTAGCTGGGTTTGAAATTTTCTAATTTTATTTTTATATGAGCTTCTAATCCACTCACAAACTCCATTAATCTAGAATCCAAAACCGGACTCTCATTTCTTGAAGTATCATCATCAGCTACAATCAATTTTTATTCTTACTCTCACTCAAATGTAGAGATGAAAATTTCTGAATGAAATATTCCTATGATATCTATTAATTCATGTATATTTAATTATTGAGATATTATAATTAATGAAAATTAAGAGAAATCATACTCTTAGATTAATTTAATACGATAGAAATGTCAGTAGAAATCATTTTTCAAAATTTTTGAACCTTTATCAATTTAAAACTATAATCTTATACAAACATCAAAAAATCATGTTATTCTCATTTCATTTTCATTTCTGAACTTTCTCCAGAAACTATCTTCCTTCCACCTTTATTAATAGGATTAATTCACTATTCAAGTTAACCAGAATTTATTAATTATTATTAAATAAATAATTTTCTTCGATAGAAACTTCTATGCAACGATTCTTAAAACTTAAATTAATAGTTCCTGATGATTATGTTAAAGATTATGATAAAACCTTGTTTGCCTTAAAATTAAATCTTTAAGATAATTTTTAAAAAAACTAAAAATAGAATTCTATTTAGGATACAAAAATAAATCTTTAAAATTATTCATTTATTTCTAAAATCACATAAAATTTAATATTCCAAATATTTTTTAATTATTTCAGAATAATTAAGAATTTAAAAATGCAAAATCTTTCAATTTTTAATTATTTTTATTACTCTTCTTTCTTAAAATTATTGTAAATTTCAATTCTAACTAAAGAGATTAAAAAATGTGAATAATTAAATTAGAAATGACAATAAAAAAAGAAAATTATTCATTTGTTAAATACTTAAATTTAAATACTCCCCTTTAATTATTCAAATAGTAGCTATATATATATATAATGATTTAATATCTATTAATTACCCTGTATATTTGAAGTCTATAATTATATATATTTTTTTAATTTTATTTCTAGATATAAAAAATTTATTAAAATATAATTAATTTTCTTAATAATGAAGTATAAAATAATTATTTTTCTAATTTAAAAAATATATTCTTTCAGATTAATATATATTTATTTTTTATAAAGGAATTCAAATTTAATAACAAAAAGATTAAACTTAAAATACATAAATATAGATATAGATCCAAATCATTCTGGAGTTAATAGTAATTTTTCTTGATTTAATTTATGATTAATTCTATGCCTTGAAAAATCCTGTTTTAATTTTTCTGCTTAATTCGTATTTGGTAATGCTTTATAAAATCGTTCACATTCTTCACATTCATGAGCATCCATTTATTATCGTTCTTTTCTGTTCTTAACAGATTCTCTATACACTTTTTCTTTTGGAAGTTCAATTTCAGTTTATATTGAAATTTTTTTATTATCTTCTGTTACATTCAATAATTTTTATATTTTGGATACTTGAATTTATTTGTCTTCAAAAATTTCAAAAAAATTTGGTTATAAAAATTTGTTTGATTTTGGTTGATTATCAAGAAGAAGTAAATCATTTATGTTTTACTATTTATTTTATTCCACTAAACTACCAACCATTTTCATTAGAGCCTAAAAGAGACTAGCTTAAGTATTGTGTAATATAGATATATGGCTAAATAATTGAAACACAGAATGATAAGTGAAATCTATTTAATTAGCCTATTTAAGTACATAATTATACTAATATTATATCAAGATGTTTTTACAAAGTGGAATAGATAGACTTTTCTTTTTCCATAAATTCTTAAAAAGAAGGGGAGAAAAACATTTTATTTATTTGATTTAAATTATATACATATATTTAATTTAAATATATATAAATAATTACGAAGTCATTTTTCTAAGTTACTATTAAGTTTCTATATCTTTAATTATAATTTATAAATTCTTTTATTGATTTCCTTAAAATATCTGAAATATTGATATTGATAGAATTTATAAAAATTGTAAAATAATTTAAGTAGTAGATAATGTTGTATTAATCTCTAGATTTAAATAAAAAAAGTATTATGTAATAGTGATTAGTATAATTTAAAAATAAAAAAAAGTATAGTATATATAAATTTATTATAGAATAATAGAATTAGTTAGTTTTATGGAATGTTTAATGAAGTTTTGATATGAGATTAAGATGTAAATATCTTTTGTATAATGAGTTTTATAGATAAGAGATGAGATGCTAGTTTATAGAATTTTTCTAAGGATTATTTGAGAATAGCAATTCTAAATTTCTCAAGTCTGGTTAAAATAATGTCATTGATTATATTAATAATGTCATATTCATAAGTACATTTTAGTGACATGCAATCAACCTTCATTAGTAACTATATGGAGATGGAAGAGCCAGTTTAGGAGAAAGAATAGTAACTAAATTGGTGTCAACGTACATTCGGTCCTCTGAAAAAAGGTGGAATAAGAATGAGTATTATCAGTTTGCTTGCTCCATGTTTGGGTGTTGGAATGCTAGGGTTGCCATGTATAAATATTGAGTTGAATTTTAGATAGAGCAAAAGAATAAGGACTTATAATCGAATTGTTGTTGATTGCACTTTGTGGAATAATCTCATGTATATCGATGCACATTTTAAGTTGGAGTGCAGGTGATTTACAATGTTCATCTTTTAGTGAACTAATTCAAATGAGTTTAGGAAATAAGATGAAGAGATGTTTTGAAATATTAACTATCTGTTAATGTTTATTGGGAATTACATAAATCTAGATCTCTTTTTAATTATTTATATATGAATTATTTAGATATTTTGAGATAATAGTTGATTAAAGAGAATTGGCAATAATAGTATAATTAATATTCATAATACCTAACCTATTGATTTCTTTTTAAAAGACTTTATACAAATTAAGATATTTTTCATTAATTGGTGTAATATCTGTAATATACATAACTTCTCTTACATCACTTGATTATTTTGTAAGAGGTTCATATAAAGATGATATTAAAATCAAATTGATAGATGTGGATTTCAATATTTTTACTACTTTTGCTATGACATTCTTTTGTTATTTATGTCATTTATTTATATTTCCAATTAGAAAGGAATTACATAATCCTACTATTACACGTTAATCTAAAATATGGAAAAGATAATGCTTAATATGTTATATAGTTTATTCATTAATTTGTATTAGTGGATATTTAAGATTTGGAGATGATACCAAAAATTGGGTAATTAATAATTATCATGGAGATTTCTTTTTTATAGGTAAATTAGGTATGTCTTGTGCTTTATTCTTTGCTGTTCCTTTGAATATATTAGCTTGTAGATAAATTATTCATGATATGTTATTATCTGATGAGATGGAATATTAATTAAAACATAGAAATTTAAGAATTTAGGCTTAGGATGGAAAGATAACTTTTGAAGTAGATAGTGTTGATTCTTTTAGATCAAAAATTCACATTTATTCAACTTTAATACTTCAATTTGGAAGTGCAATATTAGCACTAATTATACCTAATATAAAGTAATTTTCTTTATTACTATTCTAAGTCGCTATGTCACTTTATTAGGAGGACTTTTAGGTACAACAATGGTTTGTCTAATTCCTGTTTTAATTTATATAAGAGAATATCGAGATAAATTGAATTATTTCATAGTTATTTTAGAAATTACAGGAGTTATATTTGGCTGGATTGGAGCTGTTTATGGTTAATTTTGATATTATATTAGTTTTAATTTGATTATGTTATTTAAATTATAATTAGATTTAAATATTATGTTTATTTTCTATATAATTTATTATATAATAAATAGAATGATATATGATGCTAAAATAATTGGAGTGGAGACTCACTCTGATAATGTTTTGTACAAATTACGTATTATCAATTCATAAACATTTGAATAAAGGGATATAAGGGTCAAATATAGTTACTTATAAAATTTACATTCTAGTTTGTAAGAATTAAATCCAGATCGCCAAGTAAATATATATTATTAAATTAAGTTACCTTAATTTCCGAAGAAAGACTTAATTCAATCATTTATGGGAGAACATAAATTTGTGAAACAAAAAGAATAATTGATTGGAGAATACCTTTCATAATTAATTAAATCACCACCTCCTAGTTGTAAGCCATTAATTTTTTTTTTACGAGATGGAGCTGATGCTATAAGATAGACAGAATTATCAAAAGAAATATCAACTAAAACAGAACTATTCAAATTGATTAAACCAGAAAAAATATTAAAATAATCAATATTTGGCAAAACTACACTTTGTTCATTATAAGGAAAAAAAGTTATTTTGCATAAATTTTATGTTTTAAGAAGTCAAAGTGAAGAGTTATTTAACCATTATTTTAATACTCATTTATATTTCACTGATTTTACTTTGATTTGTAAAATTATACATATATTCTTTTTACATTAAAAACTTAATTTTATGGATAGTATGTTTGGATCAACTAAATAACCTAGATCTTGTAAAAAGTAGCATTTTGAACAATTTTATTCATCAATTAATAAATATGATGTTGTTAAATTATTTTCTATTGAAGCTTATGAGGGATAAAGTCTAGAGGAAATTATTTAAGAAAAAAGAATTAAAAAGATTTCATTCTCCAATAATGAACTTTGGAATTTAATTTAGTAATTATTAGAAGCAATACTTTTTCTTCACAATAATGATTGTTATCCTAATAGAATTACTACTAATTCCATTATTATCAATTAAGAAAATCTTAAATTAACTGGAATATAAGAACCAAATGAAAAATATAAAGATAAATATATAATTGATGGACATGCTCATAAAACTGAATTAGAATATGATTCCATATATTTTCCACCTGAAAAACTAAATTCAACTTAATTTAATGGTAAATTGAATGATAGTTGGCAATTTGGAGTATGTATTGTAAAGGCTGCTCTTCTTTGTACTAATAAAGAATTAGAGGGTATTCATTAATCAAAAATTGTTAATGAATTAATATCATAAATAAAAAATTAATATGGGTAATCAAACTTATTTTAATTTAGATAAGTGATGAAATAGCTAATATTTTAATGTTAAGTTTAAAAAATTCAATTTAATAACGAACTTTAATTAAACATCTTCATTCCATAGCTAATCAAAGTTCTATTACACCATTTTAAAGTGTTTTTTTGAATCAAATACAAGATCCTACTGTTACATTTATAAGACTCAATTCTATAAATGAAGAAGAAAAATTAAGACTGACAGCTTAGCTTTCTTTATCAAGTGTACTCTCAATTAAAATTAATTTATATAATTAATAAGTTGATAATAAGGAATTTGATAAATTGATGTAATTATTGGGAGATTTTGCGATAATTAAAGATATCGAAATAATATTGAATAAGTACTTTTATTGTACAAGTAAATTAGGGCAACGAATATAAATGTAAGTAGTGTTCTCTGTAGTTTAGCATCGATTAAATCTTTGATAAATTTAAATTTAGATTTAAAAGGAATATAAATAGATTAAAATGATATAATATATGGAATTTAAATATTCAAATAAATGAATTTGATGAAACGCTTAACTTTAGATTGTTCTTGTATGGATTTTATAAATTTTATAAAAGCAGAATTAGATGATAAAATGAAATTGATTTGTTATTATGAAACATAATTAATTTGACATTTTATAATATCTACTAATATTTAAAATCAAATATATTCTATTTTATATATCAATATTTAATGAAAATTCATATAATAACAAAAAAATATTAAATTTAATCATATTTTATAAAAAACACGTTGACTTCTAATATTAGGTAATGTACTGCCTTCTGAATAAAATTTACGTTCTCTAGGTCTTTTATCTTTATTCCCAATTGTCATTTTTAAATCTCTATTTTATAAAAATGGTCATAAACTTATCAATTGCCTTATTTGTTATCAATTTAGTATATGTTGCATTTAAATTTTACTTTTCTTTCCCCCATGAAGTATTCTAATACAAAGATAGGTTGAATTAATCAATTGGATTCTTTTACATTTTTTAAGTACTTTCTGATGATTTCTTAATTGGTATGGATGACATTGATTCTTCTTCAAATAAAGTTGAAGCTAATTAATCATAAATTTTAGTTGAATTAATTCTATATTTTATAAGAAACATTAATCTTACTTAATTTAACCTTATCCTGTATTAGACTATTAAGTAAATCTTTTCAATTTTTCATAACTGAAATTAGGTTTTTAATTAATTTCTTTATCTTCAGCTTTAATATTTCCAGTATTTATTTGATTTCTATTGGAATTCATTATTTAAGTTAATCCCAAATATTCAAGTCTTGCCATCCTTAAATTAGGATTACTCATATTATTCAAATCAATGGTATTATATTTAAGTCCTTCTTTTAAACGACCTTCATAACTTATGGTCACACCTGATTACAAATTCATATTCTCAATAACTAAAGGAGCTAATTAATTAAATTTAAAAGTCTCCTTGTCTTCATCATTTCTTTTTCCTTATGTATTTATCTTATTATATTATTTCTTTTTTTGTATAGGTTTTGTAACTACTTCTTCTTCAAATTTAGATCTATTTTATAAATTATTCTATTACCCTAAAGTAGATGTAGGTGGTGGTAGTTTTGTAATTTTAGTTGTGGAAACAGGTATTAATTTTCCATCATAATCATAAGTAAATTATTTTGATTTCTTATCTTTAGCAATAATTTCATATTTAAGTAATTCTTCTTGTTCCAATTTTAATTTTCTTTTCTTTTCCTATTCATACAATTATTGACGTTCCAATATCTATCTTTCTTTAGCTGCTCTTAGCTATTCTTCTGTTATACTAATATCAAGTGGATCATCAAGATCAATTGGAATTGGATCTAATTATTTCTATTCTTTTTTTATTTGAGATTAATCCTTTTTAATTATACATCAATATTACATTCAACTTAGATCTAATTAAGGTTTAAGCTGTTGTTAAATGTCTACTAATAGTTGTGGGCTATTATTATTCTACTATCATTTTTGCTGTCAACCATTATTCTCTAAAGATATGAGGCTTTCAATAATAATTTTCTTTACAGGTTCATAGTCTTCATTAAATCCACCAGTTTAAAAGTCTGGTTTTGGATCTTCAGGTCGATTAAAGGATTGTATTAGAGGTAAGATGATTAGTTATAAAGAAGCAGTTGCTGTTGTTGGTGGAATTTTTCTATTTATTTCATTATCTACTGCTATTTTGATAGTCTTGTGAAGAATATTTTATAAGACTTCATAAATGAAGATTTCTCCATCTATCTATTCATATTATGTTTGTTATGCATTCATAGATTGATAGTATGTATAATGATTCATTTTACTCATATCAATCTCTTCCAATTCTACATCTCTTTGTGTATCGGAATTATCTGACATACTGTGTAAGCCATTAGAAGTATTATGATTATTACTTTTCATTTTATTTTTATAAAATTGAATAATAAACCTTATAAAATTATCAAAATTAACATCTCATTTCATTTTTAATAATCATGAATTTTAATAATAAAATAAGAGGATTTAATAATATTTGTAATATTTGAATATTTTTATTATGAACTTCTAGTTTAATTAAATGAAAAATATTAAATATTTAATATACAATATAAAATTTATATAATTACTTCAATATTTTAAAATTATTAATTAAGTATATTAATATTATATTGATCCATAATATATCATAAAGATTACATCCATTCTATCTATTTTTATGTATGTCTTTACTCTAGTTTGATGATTATTTATTGTAATATTTTTGAGTATTAAATGATTAATTATTAAACCAAATTATGAACCCGTTTTTTAGATAATTAAATTAAAAAAAAAATGAGAGCACTCATCACAATTTGCTTAGTGGCTGCTGTATTTGCCGCAGATACAAACAAATTTGCTGTCCTCCTCCAAACTGGTACAAGAGGAAATGATGCTGTTGAATCAGTATATAATCTCTTGAGAGATCTCAAGACAGAGAATGTTAATGTCTAAGCTGCTGCAGACAAAAAGAATAATACTGATGAGGGTAAGCTTTATTTTATTATATCTTTATAGAAATCTTTTCATAAGTTATTGGTGACTTGACAAATGTCGCTTCCCTCAATAAATAATAATGGGAATCCCTTGGTGCAGTTAGAGGTGATGTTGAAGCCTAAATTAGGGTATAATTATTTAATAATTTTATAAAGGATGGATATTAATGGTTGTCCTGGGCTGAAGCAAGACTTGCTGAAATTGAAAGAAGAAATGCATAACTCTAAGATTAAAGATGTTGGGCCAATGGACTTTTTGTCAGATCCCTTGCTGATCATGCTGATGCCGTAGCAATTGTTTAACTTTTACAATAAGATGTTGCTGGATATCTTACAAACAATGCTGGAGTTGAACTCGTTGAAAAAGCCTAAACAATCGCTGACAAATTGTCTGCCTATAGTCACCTCTTCTAATAAGATGCCCTCTAGAAATTCTAATCACTTGCTGAAGTTAAAAGAGAAGGAACAACTGGAGAATAAGTCCTTAACATCTTATAAGATTTATAAGTAGAATTAGAATCAACACTTGCCACACTTTAAGAATAAGAAATCCATGCTGCCTTTGCTCTTGCCAAATACGTTTCAGATACAAATGCTGAAGTCGCTTGGTTGAATTCAGAACATGAAAGAAGAACAGGTCTTGTTGAAAAATTAGAAACTGTATCTCATTAATTCTAATTCTTTAGTAACTCCCAGCTGTCTTAGCCCAATAAGCTAAAGCCCTTAAATTATGGAAAGATTCATTAAACGCTGTTGCTGGTGCTACTGCTGATTTGGAAGAAAAGAGAGAATTCTATGCATCAGAAACTGCTAGAAGATAAGGTAATTATGCTAATTTAACATATTTTTAGAGGAAAATGCTATCATTGATGTCGTTATCCAACTCTTCAAAGATTAAGTCAGATCATTAGCTTCATAAACATCCCTTAACAGACATTGATGGGATTATTCATATAAGAATTTATCTTATTTCATTCATTCATTTCATTCCTTTCCTTTATATTTCTATTTTACATAAATATAGGCAAAAAAAGTAAGAGAAGGTTCCAAAATTCTTAATTCTTTTATTATATTAAAAATATAAAAAATTGCACAAATATGTCTCATTTTTTTAATCTTTATAAACTTTTCTTTAAGAAATTTTGTTTTTTCAAGAGTTGACTATTGATTTAGTTAATATTTCTATCAGGAGATGATTCATTCGAGAGAAATCTATCAAATTTTTATTTGTATTCTTTTTGTTTGTTCATATATTAAAAGAATGAATTTTGTGTTGAATGTTTTGAAAATGATTATGGTTTATTGTTTGTCTTAAAGAAGAATGTAGAATTAATTTAATTATTAAAAGTTGATTTTGTAGTTTAAGCTTGTATATCAAACTTATTTATAGTACCTTTATCCAATTCATGAGAAGGAGGGAGTATTTCGAAACTGCTTTTTTGAATTAATTACTATTTCTAAGGTTAAGGACTTTCAAATTATAGGTATGGAGTATAAGTAGGAATATAGGGCATTCTAGGTTAATAATCATTAATATCTTTGATTGAACTCATAGTTTCTTTTCGTTAATCTAAAACATATTTGAGCTCTAGAAAATTCTTAAATAGAGCATCTACTTTAACATTCTTCTAAAAATATTCTTTTGGAGGATAAGTAAGGTTATGCTACTCAACAATATTCTATCTATGTGATCTTTAGATCTTAGTCTCTAATTTTTATTCACCATCTTATTCAAGATCTTTGAGTCTTTACATAAAATTCATATCACCTAATTGAGATTTCAATATTGGATGATTTATAATCTTTGGTTTTTCAAAACCTAAGCTAGTTCTATGTAAAGCGGTTGCAAGAGAAGGTGAAATTGAATTAATATCAATTTTCATTCTTCTAATAGGAGGTGATTTAAATTATTGCCTTACTTAATATTAAGTTTGTTCTTCAACTACAGGGAGTTTCTTATGTTTAGTAGGAGGTTTAAATATTCCTGATAGAGTCTAAGCAAATTCTGTTCCTTCATCACTTTCTAATTTGGTGTATTCAATAGGACGACCAAAAAATTTTGTGGGTTTTACATATTATGGTGGAGGAGCAGTTTTCTTTGTGTAATCCAAGTATTTATCAGTGAAATACTTTTTTAGATTAGTTTCAATATATTAATCGGATACTATAACACCATTAAGAGTGAAGGTTATTATGTGATAACAATCTAAATGAATTCTTTCAATATTTTTGGTATTTAATTGAATAAGATTTTGCTGATAATAGTAAGTCTTTTGGGCTATGTATGCTGCACAAAATACTAAAAGATTGAGATTTTCAACTTTTGGATTTTGTACAACTTTCATAAGAGCAATGTAAGCACTCTTAAGTTTTTCATCACTTTATTATTTCATGTAAAATGCAATAAGACGATTGTAGCATTCATTTGTAAAGTTTTCAAATTATTCTGTATAGAATGCATCAATGGGTTTTGTTATAAGAATACCTGAGTTGATAAAATCTAAAATAGCTTATTTCATATAAATAAATATGTAAAAGCATTTAGAGTTAGTTTAATCAATGACTCAACCAAAATTGGAAGCATCAAATCCTTGGTTAGTAGCAGGAATACTAAGAACTCAACTCTAGAATGTGCTATATAATTAGGATCAATTTAAGGAGATTGATAATGAATTTACAGAATTTGGAATATTTTGCAATGATGTTCTTTACTAATTCAGTATAGATGCAGAATTGAATCCACCAAAACTGATTAAATAGGATGTTTATGGGAATGTAGTTGATAAATTAGTGTTAGGAGAAGGATGGAGAAAGGAAAAGGAATATGCTGCAAAAGTAATAATATAATCTAAATAGTGTGGAATAGTAGCTATGGCCTATGAAAGTAAATATGGAGTTTGGAATAGACTAATACAATTATTGAGATTATAAATGTACTAACCAGTATCTGGATTATTTGTAAGATATTAATTGATTCCTAAACTAATAGGGTTGTCCTTTGGCTATGACAGATGGTGCAGCTTACTTACTTAAATAATGGTTAAAGAATCCTACAACCTAATGTTAAGAAACTATGAAATTAGTACAATAAGGATTTGAGAATTTAACATCTAGAGATCCTTCTAAATTTTGGACTTCTGGATAATGGATGACTGAAAAAGATGGTGGATCAGATGTAAATAATTCTACCACAACAATTGCTATACATTAAGGAGGAAATAAATACAAATTATATGGATATAAATGGTTTTCATCAGCAACTGATAGTGAAATGACGTATCAGTACTATATAAATAATTAGATTGGCTTTGGCTAGAATAGTTCCTGAGAAAAAGATTGAAGATTTTAGAAAATATCCATTATCTTTATTTATAATGAGAGTAAAGAAAGATGATGGAACTTTAAATAATATTAAGATAATGACAATGAAAGATAAAATGGGTACTAGATAATTACCAACAGCTGAATTATTACTTGAAGGAAGTGAAGCATATCTAATAAGTGAGGAAGGTAAAGGTGTAAAAGGAATTAGTTATATGTTAAATGTAACTAGATTATATAATGCATCTTCAGCAGTTGGATCTATGAATAGATTATACTCAATTGTAGTAAATTATTCTTTGAAAAGAAAAGCATTTGGAAAAGTATTAATTGATAAATCTGCTCATTAAACAATGCTTACTAAATTCAATCTTAATGTTAGAGCTTGTAGTTTATTTTATTTTAAAGTGGCTTAATTATTCTCTAAAATATAAAATAATATAGCTTCTAAAGATGATGAGGAAATGTTTAGAATATTAACTCCATTATTAAAATTATATACTGCAAAAATATGTATGTATTGGATGAGTGAAGGAATTGAAGCTTTAGGTGCTTTAGGATATATGGAAAATAGTTATATTCCTTTAATGTTAAGAGATGCTTAAGTACTTACAATTTGGGAAGGCACAACTAATGTTTTATGTTTAGATTTCTTGAGAGCTCTCAAATCTAATGATAAAAATGATCCACTTCAAAAACTAGATATTTATGCTAGATTTCACACACATGTTATGATGACTTTATTATCAGCTGACACTTAATTACCAGAAACTAGAAAAACCTTTATTCCTTATATTGCTAAAATGACTATTAATCATAATGGAGTTATTGCTGAATTATCAAATATATTATAAGGAACTGTCAATTACTCTGAAATGAGAATTAGAGATCTCTGTTTTATGTATTAAATTAATTATAAATAATAAGTTTATGTGAATCATTTGTAGGAGGATAGATGTTAGAATTAATTTCAAAGAATGGTAGACAAGAAGATATCATTAGTTTTGAATTATGGATAGAATAGATGTAATCATATACAACTACTTGGTCCATTACATCCAAAGCTTTCGAAGTGTTAGTCAAATAAAATATAATCAAACCCAAATTATGATATATTAATAGATTTTTAATATATATCAATCAAAAGGTGAATAGTCATATTCTGCCTTGTTATGCATCACTAATTGATCTCCAACAAAATAAAAACTATCTGATTTTGTCTAAAATGGATTTGCTATCATTTCTTATCTCTAATAAATTCTTAACCATTATATATTACCATTGCTTCATCTATCTCTGGAATTGTGTAGATATGTTCCCAAGTGTTAGTTGAATTAGGTATGCAAAAAGGAAATTGAAATTCATAGCTTCTCAATAAATGATCTCTAAAATAATGTCTCTCTATTATTGTAAAATTTTTGACAGGTTTGTTGCCCACTGAAAATGTCAATTAAGCACCTACAGTCTTCAATTCAAAAAATTATGGTCCAAAATGATATTTTATACGTCTAGCCTCATCTTGATATTCTGGAGGTAGATTTTCTATCATAAATCAATATACAATTTACCTATTGACTCTTCATCTTGATCTCGTTCAACTTCAAATAATGTTTAACCAGAATCCATATCTCTTATTCTAAATTTCAAGAATTGAATATTATAAGTGTTAGCATTAACAGGACACAAAAAACTAATGTATATCTATTAAATACTCTTGTGTGATTCCATTCAGATTTCTAACATATGCAGGAGTCACTTACTGCATTAGATTTAAATATTTATTATATTATTATTATTATTATTTACTATTCAAAATATCATTTTAAAAAACATTCTCTTTAATGGAATAATTTCATTAATCTCTTTTCTTAATTCCTAACTAAATCCTATCTATTCAAATTAAAATCAATAAAATCAGTCTAATATACCTCTTATAAATATATCAATAATAGTTGTATTCACTTTTAATTATTATTTACTATTTTTTTGCTATTCTATTTCTTAAACAATTACTATATCCAATTAAAAACTATAACAAAATGATAAGAATAATTAAATATATCTGCTTATTTTCATATAGATTATCACTTTTTATTTTTTTACTATTTTAATTAGTTTTATATTTTTCCCATTAAAAATATTTTAAAAAATCAAATAAAATATTTTATTTATCTTCTTATTTGAATGAAATCAACAAATCCTCATTTAATATATTGTTATATTGTTAAAAATACATATGCATTTAAGGCATATGGCCTTTATCAACTTCATTATAAAAGTTATTTTCTTATATGTCATTAGTAAAGGATCAAAATTCTATCATCTAATATACTATTGTACTATAAGTTTGGTCAAATTATTTTACTATCCTGCAAATATTGTTTGGCTTTACAATTTTCCTATTTGTAATAAACTAAATTGAAATATAATAATTTAGCAATATCATATGATTTAATAAAACATGAATCCAAATTTATACTTTTATCATCAGAAATACAATTGGTATTAAAAATAATACAACCAATTATATTATTTCATATATATATTATTTTATAAATATCTTGAATTGAAAATCTCTAAACATATTAATATTACAAAATTATATTTGAAAAGGTCTTTTCAAGAACAATTTATTTATAGTATTCTAAAACTCAAACCAATATTACAATTTCTAAGAAAATATAATAATATTTAAATTATTATTTTTATTAAAATTGATGAACCCTAATTACAGGGAAATTCTAAAATAGATTATGGACTTCAAACAAGAAGGAATAAGAGTGCTCATATCAGGTTTGCTCGTTAAGTTAGTAATCTATCTAATAATAATAGATTATTGGACTCTTATTTGCATGGCCAATTTTGTAATCATATCATGAAATCTTAATTGGGTATAAAGACCTTAATCATTAATACTTCCTCTATATCAGCTATGCTCTTATGATTTTTATCATGAATTTGTTCATACCTCATACTGATTTCTTCCTTAAGAAATTAGGACCTTAAGCTTTAATTTGCATATTTGTTTGTTTAATTGGAATGTCTTTTATGTTGATGGCTATTTTTGATTAAGTATAAATAATAAAATAGAATAAATTAGTATTGGATAATCCATCTCTTACTTCAATTGTTTGTGATAGCTCCATCTATTGGAATTTTGTACTCAACACCATTTCTAACAACTTGGAGATATTTTGTTAAATAGAAATGTATTTATTTAATTATTAATATAGAACATTTGAATTCAATTTTCTAAATATTCATTGGATTAGGTGCATTTTTTGCATTATTAATCTTTGAATCAAATTAAGCAAATTAATTAGAATTGTATTTTGATAATGATTAATATTTCTGTGGAGAATGTTTCAATCTTCAAACAAGAAGATCTCTAAGAGGACTTACAATATGGGCATTTATTTTAGGAATCATTGCTGCTCTTCTTATTAAATAACCTGATGGAGATATTGCTGATAGTGTAGTAGATTATGATCTCCTAGCATTTGCTCATTTAGATCTTAAGTAATAATAACACAGCTAACATTCTGCAAATGAGAATGATTAATCATTCGATTAACCAATTACATTTACCTAATCTCTATCCACTAAACCATTTTAAATCATGTCAATTTTAGTAGTATCATCATCTCTTTTGCCATATTTGATATTCTGTTAATATCAGAGAATCTAATCAGCCTTAGGTGTGTCCTATACAAAATCATGTACATCATTTTAAATATCAATTTTGTTTTATGGATTTATGAGATTAGCCTATAACTATTTTATTTCAGATTTGCCATATAAACTTGTAATTAAAAGGTTAGGCTAGACAAATGTATTATTCACTAAATATTACTTATTTAGATGCTTCTAATTCTTGTATTTGTTGCTTCACTATGGTTTAACAATACTATTTTAATTAACGTTATGTGTTCCATTTATACAGTTTCTTTAGCCATTTTGTTCTCTGTGATTAGTAGTTCCATTCCTAAAATATTTGGATCTATGGCAAGTCAAGGAGTATTCTCCTTTATGTTGGCTATTATGGGTTTGAGTGCTATTATTTCAAATAGTATTTCTTACTTTTTTCCAGAAGGGGTACATTATTAAATATGTTTAGAGCACAAAAATGATGTTATTTTACTTTTCCATTAAAGTATTTCTTGGCTAAATGTTTGTGTATCGAGTTTCTAAATGATTCTATTAAAATATATAAAATAATTTCAGAATTAAATACTAACTGATTACAATATATATTATTCAAAATTAATGTATTACACTCCATCTAGACCTGCTGACAATGACAAATACCCTTCACGTCATGATAAGCCTCCAGGTTAAAATCCTCAATATCTTTAAAAACTACCTGAAGATCCTCGTAGAGTTGATGATTATTAAGGTCGTCCTCAAGAACGTCCACTCCCTCAACGAAAACCTTTATATTAGGAACAAGGACCAGAAAGAGGCCCACTACCTCCAAGACACTTGGATCGTCCATTAGATCGACCACAACCTCCATATGGCAATATGCCAAGAGGATTTGAACGACCTCCTCCTGGTATCAATCCTCAATTTCCCCCTCCACCTCCTGAAAGATTCAATCATCCTCCATATGATCAAGGCTACCCTGATGATCGCTATTATAGACCAATTTCTGCTCCTTATGGTAGTCCTTATGGTCCTAGATAATAACCATATGGGGAACCATCTCCTTAAGATTTGAGAGGACCTGCAAGAGCATATGACCCAAGAAGAGTTGGACCACCTCAAGATTTTAGAGGTCCTCCACCTGAATATCGAGGATAACCTCCCCCTGATTTTCGTGATGTTCCTCCTGAATTTAGAGGAATGCATCCTCCAGAATATAGGAGAATGCCACCTCCCAGTTATTAAGGTGCTGAGTACAAAAGAAGAATGCAAGAGCCAATGGGTTATCGTGATGATTATAACAGAGATATACCTTCGAGAGGTGGACCTCCCCCTGGACCACCTATAGATTTCAGAGGAGGACCTCCTCCTGATCACAGAGGACCACCATTAGAATATAGAGGTGGGCCTCCCCCTGATAATAGAGGTGGGCCACATTAAGAATTTAGAGGTTTACCTCCTCCAGATTTCAGAGGCGGACCACCTCCTGATTTCAGAAAACCTCCCCCTCCTCCTGATTATAGAGGAATTCCCCCTCCTGAATATAGAGGAATGCCTCCTGCTAATTATAGAGGACCTCCTCCTGAATATGGAAGAGGTATGGATCCAAGAGGAATGCCACCGTAAGAGTTCAGAGGATAACCACCTCCAGGTGAGTATAGAAGATAAGGTGGATATCCTTAAAGAGGAGGGCCTTCAAATGAATTTTATAGAGGAGAATATCCTCCTTAGTATCCAAGAGGAGGAGATTAATTATAACGAGGAGGGCCTGGCGGAAGGGATTTTGAACCTAGACGACCTTTATCACCTTAGGCATAAAGAAGAGATCATGGATACAATTAGTTTAGTTCACCATAATAAAGAATTAAGCAAGCTTGAATATTATATAAATATATATTATACTTTGTTTAAGCATGATTAAGATGAGTTAATAATGTAGAATTATTAAATAGAAAAATAATAATAAAAAAAGAGAGATGAGATCCCCAAGGGTAGAGAGGGGATGTTTAAGAATAGAGAAGAGTAAGTTAGATGGAGATGTAGGGGAGGTGGAGAAATTATTAATTATATAATAATATAGTGTAAAATGAGTATAAATGAAGAGCTCGATCCGTTTTTAAATTAATATTAAAAATGTAAAAAATAGCTCTCTTAGCTTTGGTTCTTGCTGTGACCGCTGCCAAGTTCGTTGACACCCACACAACTTTGGCTTAAATCAACTCTGACCCATTCGGCCATGTTGTATTGAGTGCCATAAAGGCCCATCTTTAAGCCTCTACCCCAGCCAATGAAGTTAATATGTTATTGAATGGTGTTGGTGCAGGACTTGTTTAAGACTAAAATGACCATGATCATGCTTTTGAACTTGACACAACAACAAACAACAGAGTTGATTCTATTTAATTAATCTTTAGATCGTTGAAGATTTGGAAAAGGAAATTTTGTATCACTAAAACTAAATTGCCTCAAATACCTAATTGAGAGATGATACAATTGAAGCACTTGCAGTATCTGAAGAAGATATTAGAGTGACAATTTCAGATATCGCTAACAACGAAGCTACCTATGCAAGAGAAGAAGCCACAAGAAACTAATAACACGAAACTTTTGTCTCAAAAGTTGCTGCTATTGATGATGTGATTGATGCTATTGATGATGCCGCTAAATTGATCCAACATTTGAGCCTTGGAGCATCATTTGCTTAATTGAAGAGCAAATACGACACACTCCACAAAAAACTTTCAGATAACACATCACACACTGCTTTATTATAAGTATGATTGATAAATCTAATTTAAATAGCCAGTCATCACTGCTCTTACTGAATTAGCTACCCATGGAGTTAACTAAAAGGCATTGACAAAGATTGCTTAACTCTTAAGTGAAATCAGATAATAATTAGTCTCAGAAAAAGCTGCCAAGACTGTATTTAAATATATAATTATAATAGGATGTTGAAGATAGATAAGCTGCTCATTGGGCTGAATTCTCAGTTCATTTATCTAATGAACATACCAGATTGGTTGAAAGAAAAGCTTAATTGGAAGTCTAAATCTAAGAATAAAAGGATACCATTGAAGATGCTTAATCATGGATCGAATTCCACACTCTTGAGTTGGAAAATAGTGAAGAAAGACTTGCTGGATAATAAGCATGGTATGCAGTCTAATCAGAAATCTATGAAACCTAAACTGCTGAAAGGTATTTTAAATTATTTTATTTTATTAGAACTGCCTAATAAGAAATTGTTGACAGACTCTAAGAGCACATTAGTGAGAAGTTATCCACCACTGCTCAATTCATTGCCAGCAGAAATTGATTTGATTATCAATACATCAATAAATAATTGGATAACATATGACAGATTAAATTTCTCTATTCGATGAAAATGATGAAGACTTGGTTGCAGATTATGGATTTGAGCCTTAAGAAATGGAAGAAAAGAATACATTCTAACTTAAGCCATTCTAAATAGCCGATTTCCCTCTTGATTAGAATCTTGTCTCATTTGCAATTAATGATCATTGCATTGTCTTTACAACTGATAAAAAAAAGATATATAGATGGAGATTCCTAAATGAGGATGGATGTATAGAATTACCAATCAAAACTGAAGTTGAAGGTGATATTACAGATCAGATTATGAAATTAAGTGGACATGTAGGTAAACAAATAGGAGGTGCTGTTCTCAATACAGTTTCAAAAGTAACAAAACCACTTTTTAATGCATCAATGAAACGTTCAAAAAGAATTGATTCTGAAGAAGGAAAATTAGATTGTATATTCTTGGAACCTAAAGGAAATCATATAATTGTGGCTTCAAATAAAGGGGATGTCTATCATGCTTGTAAAGATGAAGAAGAAGTTCGACTTTTAGAAGGTGTTGATAATTACAGTATTCGTTTTTTCTTATGGGGAGAAGGCTCTCTTTATTCATTCTCTAATTGTATTATTATAGCATCAAACAATAAAATCTATTCATATTCACTAAATTATAATAATGATAAACTTATGCATACTGAAGTTTTGAGTAAAAACATCTTACAAATACCTGAAATTGAAAAAATTGTTGATGTTAAAAAAGTTGTGAAGAATACTATTCATATGATTTTAATTGTCACCGATAAACATATCTATATATTGAATGGTACTAAAGATCTTAAGAAACTCTTTTAAAAATATTAAGAAGCTCCTGATTTATTTCTGAAATCTAGAATTGCTCTAAAAGACAAATCATATATCCCAAGAATTTTTATAGAATAATCATCAATTTTGTGGACTAACGGCAATAATATACTTCTATCTAACTATTCTATTTTAATAGAAAATTAAACATTTTAGAATTCAAAAAAACTTAAAAATTATAAACGATCATCAACAGAAGAAGTTAAATTGGAATAACTATATGGTATAGGACTTACAAAATTTCATTATTATCTTTTAACTTTTGATACTTTGACTATTATAAATTTACTCTCTATGACAGTAGTAGCATATTTTGATATTAATATAAACTCTTCAGGAAAAGCCTTAGGAATGTTATATGATTAAGGTACTGAATGTTTTTGGGTATGGTGTACTAATGGTATCTTTAGAATCAGTGTTGAATTTGAAGACAAGGATGCATGGGTATAATTGTTAGAACTTAAATCTTATGAAGAAGCATTGTAAGTAAATAAAAAATATGATTCTCCTTTTTATGGTCAAGTATTTTATATTATATATATTTCTTAGATATCAGGTAAATATGCAGATCTACTATTCAACCAAGCTTTATAATTAGATCCTTAAAAACCTCCTAATAATGAAGACATTCAAAATGACATTTCTGAAAATACCTTTATGAGAAATAGACATAATAGAAGCACTATGAAAGATAGTCTATTTGATGATAAAGTAGAAAAGGTTTAAATATCTAGAGAAGTTGTAGATATGAAAATACAACTATATGGAAAAGCAGCTCTATATTACTTTGGTAGTAATAGATCTTATGAGTAAATCATTTTATAATATGAAATGGGAGAAATTAATTATAATAGAGATGGTTTGATAGGTATATTATTTTAATTAATATTACAATAGAATATTATCTTAAACCTATGGTTGATCTATTGGATAAAGAATTAAAATAAATAGTATTCAAAAAGATTTTAGAACTTCTTATGCTTTCAATTACAAATTAAGGAATAATCAAGTCTTTTTTAGAATAATATAAAGCAGATTTAGAAGTAGATTCAGTGATACCTACTTTAAAAGTTCATGGATTAACATATTTAGAGACTTATTTTATTGAATTAAAATAGGATCATAAAACAGTTGTTTAAAATTTATTAATTTAAGAAGATTATAAATCAGTATAAGAGAAGTTATCATCTTTAAATGATAATGATTTATTAATTAATCTAGTTTATAAATACTCTTATGTTATTATGAAATATAATACATAATAAACTTTAGATTTATTTAAGAAAATTGATGCTTTGGATGCTTAAAAGATGCTTTCAATTTTATTGGATGTTCCTCTTAAAAGTAAAGAATTAGCTATTTAATTTATGCAATATTGTATATTTGTAAAAACTCGCAAAATCACTGATATAAATTTTAATAATTTATATCTTTAATATCTTGCAGATCTTAAAAAGGTAGAATAAATTATGTATTATATTAATGAACAAATTAATTAAAATGAATAAGGAGAAAAATATAAATTTGATTTGAATTATGCATCTTAATTATTTGTGAAGACAAATTTATTATAACCATATGTTTATATATTGTAAATGTTAGGTGATTATGAAAATGCTATTAAAAAGGCCATAGAAATAGATCTTATTGAAGATGCAAAGAATATTGCATTAAAATGTGAAGACAATAATAAATAAAGATAACTTTGGATTTTATAAATTAGATTAATGTTAGAGAAGGGTGGAAAATATGTTAGATAGATAGTTCAATTAACTAGAGAAATTCCTTTAATAAAAGCAGAAGATATATTGCCTTATTTAACTTAAAATATTAAATTAGATGATTTTAAAGATGAAATTTGTGAAACTTTAGAGGAATATCATGATTAGGTTGAAAAATAATAAAATGAACTTGAAGGATATATCAAATCTAATGAAAATTTGAAAAAATTATTATTGTAAACTAGTAATAGATATATTTTTGTATCTTAAAAAACTAAATGTGAAAATTGTTTCAGAAAACTTTTTTAAGAAGATTATATTATTTTTGAATGTTTACATGGTTTTCATAGAGAATGCATTTTATAATATGTTAAAAGTAATCCTACTGTATTAGATTAAAAAACTTATTAGAGTTTGCTTTATTTAGAAAAATAATTAAATGATATTGAAAAACTATAAATTCAAACAAATTAAAGTAAGCCTGATGAATCAATATTTGGATTTTTTACTGTTTCGAATTAAATTTCTTTAAATAATTAAAGAAATGCTAGAAATGAATAATAAAAGAAATATCAATAAGAATTAAATGATATTTTATCTAAGGATTGTCCTGTATGTGGGAATTTTATATTTGATTAAGTTCTATTACCATTAGACAATGATGAGTATGTAGAAGAGACTTGGTTTATTTGATGATTTTTTTTAATTGAATATATTTTAATGAAATTATTTAAGGCTTTTTGTCAAGGGAAGTCTATTCTTGTAAGAGATACATAAAAGTTGACAAAATATATTGATCTTTGTCTAAAGACTCCTGTTTCTTATAAGGGAATACAAAAGTCTATTGGTTATGATGAAATCATTCGTGCATAATTCAATTCTAAAGAGTTTAATAAAGCATTATTCCCTTAATTTATCAATTTAATTGGAAGAGATTTTAAAGAACTAAATTAAAAGGAGTTTAACTATTTTATACAATCTCTTAGTTGTTATGTAGAAGGTGCTACAAATCAAAAAGTTTATGATAAATAGATATTTGAAAATGTTGTAAACTAAATAAGTTTGAATGCTACATATGTTTAAAAAAGCTTATTCTTCTTAACTTTATATTGGTATGTTGCTTTTTATAAGGCAATTTATCAAAGTTAATAAGTTGTAGATAAATTCTAAGCTGATTTATTTAAATAAGTACCAGAAACAGCTGAAGATCGTCTTTGGAGAGTATTAATTGAAATGCATTAATTATAAATGAAGAAAAAATCATAAGTAAAGGATGAAACATTAAAAAAAGAAGAATAAAAAATAATGGAGAAGTTTATTGATTAAATTGAAGAAGTTGATATTAATTTACCAAAGTTTACAAATATTATGAGTAGATTTATGTTGTTAAAATATTATTCAATTTTAAAGTACTTTAATGTAATATTATAATAAAATTAATTAGGTATAAAATTATGACAAAAGATTTCATAATTTATTATTTTCTGTTTATACAACTTCACAGAATTACATTACAGAAAATCTATCATCTTTAAATTCATTTGGATTATATGGATATATTGATTTAATATCAAAAAACAAGGATATATTTTAAGCCACAAAATGGGATATCATATTGAATGAAATCAACTCTAAAAATTTTAATGAAATTCCAATATTTGATATTATTGCCTTATCATTTGTTATTATTAACAATGATAAAATGACAACTTAATTGAGCAATCGAATCATTTAGTATATTAAATTTGATAATTTAAATTAGGCATTTATATGATAATATTAATTCTATAAGTTCTAATAATTATGCAGATGTATTTTAGATACTTGCTTAAGTTGATTGTGATCTAAATGATAAATTTGTAACAAAATTATAATCAAAAGTTATTCCAAAAGATTTATCATTAGAACATATTTCAATAATTCTTACTGTACTTTAACGTTTTCATAGAATAGATCTAAATATATTAGAAAAGTATTTAGTAGGAATTGGAACAAGAATTAAGGATATTGATAAAAACACTGGTTTAGGAATTTTATCTGCTCTTAATTACAAACATTAATAAAATCCTGTAATATTTTCTTAAATCTTATAACTTAAATTAGAAGAAGATAAAGATTTATAATTATAAATAGAAATATTAAAATATTTATAATTGCATGATCCATAAAATGAAATTTGTATGAAAATTTAATAAAATTTTGTTAAGAATTTGAAAAAGGAATATGATTTTAAATTAATTTGTTCAATTCTTGAAGTTCTATTGCATTTTAATGATTAGAGTTAGAAGACAATTACAATTATACCTGAACTTAAATAATATGTTAAGAAAGGCTTAGAATAAATAAAATAATCTAATGAACTTGATAAAGATGTATTAGAGTTTTTAATGAAATAATATAAAATTGAGATATGAGTTTGTTTTGAAATGAAAAATTCAAAATTTAATTTAATATTAAATATTTGAATATTCTAAATTTGAAAAAATTCATTTAAATTAAATCATTAATTGATTAATGTATTATATTACAATAATAAACACTCATTAAGCATAAATAATATCAGGATTCTTATCTAATTTATTCCATAATTAAGATATATATCCAAATTTATCTTCTGTAAATCTTTTTTCTCTTTATTTAAACCAATTTATTGATATTAACTTTCTATTAGAATTTAAAATTAAGAAATCTCTTGCCAAAGTTGAACTATCCTTTTTATCATATGAATTAGTTTGATAATGAAAAGATCCATCACATTCTATAATAATATTTAAACTGGGTATCCAATAATCATAAGAATAGAATCCTTCATTATATTCTTTTATAAATTCAATCCCTATAGATTAAAGAAAATCTTCAACATCATTATTTATTTCATTAGTTCTTCCTGTTTAAGAATTATTTTAATTAAATTATGCTTTAATATTTTCTTCTTCAAATAATTTAATATTAAAACAATTCAATATAGCTTAACAAATTTTAGTTTAATTAATTGATTCTTAGGGATAAGCAACTTATGCATATCCAAATTATCTAATGGCATCAATAGCTTAATCAATTAAAGGTTAAATATAATGAGGTTCTTTTATAAGTCTTTCCATATTTTCTTTAGTAGGATTAATTCTAAATTAATCCATTATGTGACTAGTTTGAAAATACAAAAGAGATAATAAATAATAAGGTAAGAATTCTTTTTCCATTTACATTTTCTTATGTATTTATAACATTCTTTTTATTAATTTTTCTCCAACTCCTACTTTACTTAATTAACAAAATAGTAATTTAAGATAAGCAAATTCAACTTTTTCTTCTTTAAATTTTACCTTTTATAATAATGTTTCTTCAATAAATAAAGCATCATCATAGGGAAAATAATTTGTCTTAAATAGAAACTATTATAATATATATAATATTATACTGAAGATAATTATGAATAAAATTCAGGATTTTCTGAAATATCAGGTTCAAAATTAAGTTGTGTTCTAAATCTTTATAAAATGAATTTTGAGACTTCAGTAGCTAATTATTTCTAATTTAGATATGAAATGATTTAATTATATTTAATGAATTACAAATAATGAAGCATGGAATAGATATGTCTCAATTAAGTATTAGGTTTATTAATTATAATCTAAAATATAAAAGTTTAATAGTGTTATTTAAGACTTTGATTATCACTATTTCTTAATATATATCCCATAGATTTACAAAATCTAGTTAAAGTAATATTAGAGAATTTCTTGCATTCATGACGATCTTTTACAATTTCAATCATCTCTTTTAATTATTCTTCAATTAATTAAGAAAATTCATTTAAATTAAAATTTCTACTTAAAACAGGTATAATAGAAACGAAATTGGCTACTGAATTTTGTTTCTAAAATAAATTATAATTATAACTGATTTCAATATTTCTTATGCATTATTTAACAAAATATTTTTTAAGTCTTCTATTTTTAACTTTTTTAATTCTGCTTTCATTTCTTCATAAGTACATAATTCATAATAATTAGTAATTAAGTAAAAATGCTTTGATGATAATATTAATAAATCTTTATCAGCTTTTTTTATTTAATTTATACTCGATATAACAAGATCTAAATATATCTAATTATTATGAAATAATTAATACAAGTTATTCAAATTTCTATGGTAAAACACCTTTACAAAGTTGTGGTAATTTAGTAACAGCAAATTGCATCTTGGAAAGAAAATTTATCATAAATAGAGATTATTTAAATTTTTTAATTATTCTTATATTATTATTATTATTATAGGAATTATAATCAATCAAGTGTTACTTCTTTACTTAATACCTAAATTAAATGTTTATTTCTTGCTATTTATTCTTTTGAGAATATTAATAAGGAATGTTTGACTGCAAAAATAATTGCTAGAAATTGTTTAGAAATCAAATAAATAATCATTAAAAATACCATTAATAAAGCTATAAGAATTAAAATGGCCATTAAAATAGCCTAAAATTTAGAATTTTCATTAGAAACATTCTAATTTATAAAAAGATTATCTCTATTCAAATTAAATTAAGGAAATACAAAACCATAACCTATGATAATATCAATAAAGTCTTGATCCTAAAGAATTTACTAAAATCCTAATGTTATATCATAATCAGATTTCATAATCCTTAAAGCATTTTTAGAATTAATCAAATATTTCGAATAACCTTATTATAATATATATGGACAAGTATAACCTAAATTAATCATTGAAACTATTGGACTCATTTGACAAATATCATTATTAACTATATAAGTAAGAGAATAAGTATCATGTTCATCATCATAAGGTAATTAGAATAGATATATATCTTCATAATAAGAATATAATTCATCGTATTATTGGAATTTATTATCATCTACTTAATAAGATGGATTTGAATATTATTATATAAAATGAACTAAACGATTACTAAAAGCAAGTTGAGCAAGTCCTAAATAATAGATGTCATTATGAAAATCAATAACTTATTTTACTTAGCTTTAAAATAATTCATAATAAGGAATGAAATAAATTAATTCTAATGCACCTAAAAGAAATATTAAAACAAATTATTTTATCCAAAATTATTTCTTTAATCTTTAATCAATATTTCTTTATTCTTATTTAAGAGATTATTATGCATTTTTATCTAATTTTAATAGAGTATATTTCATATGTGATAATTCATCAATCTCTAATAATCTTTAAGTCTCATTATCTTAATCAATTAAAGATTGATTCAAATTTTGAAATAAAAAATAAGTTCTAACAATAGATACTCTCCATTTAGCTATTTGTATTTCTGCAATAAGAATAAAGAAAGCAACTCCAATACAAGAAGTCAATCCTGAAATAACATAAATAGATGCTATATTTAAAGAATTATTTTTAGTGTTACTCATCTCAATATTAGTTTAATTAATTAAATTAGTTGCTAAATCAAAATAAATAGGATAATTTAAAGAGAAATAACTTTCTTCCATATTAGATAGATTAAATTTAGATGATTAATATTCTACAACTTCTGTTATTCTATGAAATAATAATGGTAATTAATCTACTAAGAAATCTCTTGTATCAAAACAAGATTTCATTTAATTACCATTATTAGAATATGTATGTAAAATACATATTGATTATCCTTCTAAATTTAATAAGATTTCTGGATTAATAAATTCTCTATCATTATAATTTCTTATTTAAGTAATATAATCATCAGTAGAATTAGTAATAAAAAAATGAGGAGCAAGAAATTTTTAATCATTTGCTAATAAATGAATAGCTATTTCCATTAAGTTAATATTCTATAAAAGGGTTATAGAAAATTAACCACCTGCTGAATCTAAAAATATATGAAGTATTTCATCATTAATTGCAATAATACTTAATATAACTATAATGATTAATATTAATGCATATATTAATGCAACAACTAAAATACTATAAAATTAATGTGGATTAGATTGAATCATCCCATTAATTATGTGATTTACAAGACCTTTTTAAGATTCTGTACTTTTTACAGAAGTAGATGGTTATTATTCAAGTGTTAATTTATGATTAGATCTCTTTTTTAAAGCAGTTGGTACAAAATGTTATTATTTATTGTGATATTAAAATTTATTGACTCTTACTTATGATTTAATCCATTCTATTTATTCTTTCATTTATTAATCAGTTAGATCTTTAATTGAAACTTACATTTCCATTTCTACTTTCAATTCTATAGGTGATTCTATATCATCATCCTCTTTTATAATTAAATATTAATTTGTTTGTATATCAACATTATTTAAATTGTTTTATATCAATTATTGATGTTCTCTTCTACTATCTCGATTGCTAAATTCATCATTAATTCTAAGTGGTGATATTAATAAATCTTAAGTTTAAAAAGAATTAGCTATAATGGATGAATGATTATTTTAATTAAGAAGTATTTTTTGATCAATTTATTCTTATTTAAAAAATTAATGAAGAGATATACTAAGTGGATCTTATTAAATATGTATACTTTCATTACTAATAGCAAAATGTTTATCATCCATTTCATCTTCATAAGAAGGACTTTTACCACTATTAGTAATTTGATATGTTTCAGGTATTACTGATTTAAATGATGTATAACTAGTAATATAAGTTTCAGATTATATATTATTAACAATCATTACTTATTTAAACATTAATTCTAGAGCCATCATTTTAATTTCAAGCTCTTTTATTTCATTAGATTAAAAAATATAGAGTGTTTCATATTATAATTTATTGTCATCATATGATGAATTACAAAATTTATAAATTGAAATAAATACACTACATTATTTAGGATGTTTAAGAAAATATTTATAAAATGAAACTTAATTCATATTATTTTATTGTATTTTTTTAAATGCTTAATCTGATTACATTAAATTTACCTTAGGTATTAATATAAATCCATTACATAATTCATTAATATTTTAAGAAATAGGTATACAAATCTTAAAATTTAAATTTATTTTATGATCCAATTTTAAAATTCTATTTAATTGTAGTAAATTTATTGCTTATTCTGAATATGAATATACATTGCCCTTTGAACTTAATAAGATTTTTCCACAATTATCTTCCTATTTATAACCCATAATTGTCATAAATGTTAAATATTCCATACTCTAACCTAATCTAACAAGACTATCTATTTCTTTCATAAACCCTTTATTTGTTGTTATATAAAATTATTAAATTCCATTATTTAACAATCTTGGTTTCCCTTCTTCTATCAATCTTTTCAAAAATTATTAATGAACTTCTTTAACTGGACTTGGTAATATCCTATCTATATAATGACCCACTAATTCAGATTATATTTCAGTTTCTTAAATTCAATTAAAATTAATACCTTCCATTAATTTTGGAAATAGAATTGAATGATTTAACATTATTAAACCATTATCATATTTACATTAAACATAACAACATTACATATTATTTAATGTATTCCATAAATTATCAATTTTAAAATTTTATAAAACTAATAAAGAAGATATCTACTTCAATTTTTCTTATTGAAATGTAACTAATGAATATACTGCATATGCTAAATTCTTAGTTACTATTGAATTTGGATTTAATCTTAAAATATCATTTAATATTTTTTCACATTTCATGACCAATTTAATATAAGAATACATCTTATTATGATATAAATAATAAAGTGGATTCTGATATTATAATGTCAAAAATATCAAAATTTATTATCTTTAATTTAATAATTTAATAATTTATTATCCTAATTGATCAACCAAATTACAATAATTAAAATAAATCTAACTATTTATTCTTACTCCTGCAATTTTCTCTAATAATTTTTCATAAAATATTTATCTATGACCTTGAATTCTAAATTAATATGGAAACACAGTATAGCCATAAAATTTGGTTGAACTTAGCTTTTGGCTTCTCAAAAGGGTTTCAAACAATTTTTCATTTCGATATTGAGTTTCAATTCTACTCAATAATAATATCTTAGATATAAGAATAATGTCTTTACATATTCTTAAGAATTTTTAAGATAAGTAAAATTGTACAATCTTAAAATTTCACTAAGGACTTAATTTAGATTTTATTTTAGAACTTAATCTGGTGATTTCCATGTTTATTCTTAAGTAAATTAAAAGTTTTATGTACAAAAACAATTAAGTCGATTACACTATTTAGAATGAGTAACCAAAATCTATGAAAGATAGAATAAACCTGCACTTAATCCCAATTAATATGTGAATTACATTAGAATAAGTTATTTTAATTAAAATGGAGTTTTGAATAACGAATTTCTAATTTCACTATGAATAAAAACATCTATAATTTTTAAGGAAAGACATATTATGATGGGTATCATAAAAATTAAGGGTTCCCATGAAATAGTTAAATAAATTATCAATATAGTTAATCTATTCATTGAAATGATTGCAATAATCTTAAATTTCAACAAATTTGGTGATGTGACTAATGCAATTCCAAATGTTTATATAATAATAATTGAATCATAGATCATAATACATATCTTATATGCTAATAGACTATGATGATGAATTGAAAAGGTAATCAAAATCATTATAAATTTGAATATCCTCAGAAATTTGTATATTTAAATTTCTCCAATAATTTCAGTATATGATAAAAAGAGAATTGCCAATATAATTATGAGTAGAATATTACAAATATCGATAATCTCAACTCTTTAAGATTGAATAAATAGAGGTAGAGCAATATAAAAATGGTGATGATACCACATTCGAAATATTTGTGTTTTCTAAAAATATTATGCTAAAATTATGAATGTCAAAATGAAAGTGCAATTTATTATTATTGAATAAAGTGGATCAATATATAAAGTTATTCCAAATGCTTCAAGTGTTATTAAGATTTAAATTAATATTTCTTCATAATAATTTTTCTGGTTAATAAATAATAGTATCTACATTAAAATAAATAATATAAGTATCACATGCTTTAACTAGTTACATTCTGATTTTAATTTAGTATTATTTATATTAATTCTAATGCAAAATTAATAATTTTGTGAGGGTAGGAAAATAGACTTAGGTTGGTTGACAGATGCAAAAAATGATTATCAGACTCTACTTATTAAATCATTTAGATAATAATTTAAGGAAGAATTATAAAATATCGCAAATAAGGAATTGATTACAGATG